TATTCAAAAAGTTCAAATTCAACATTATATTCAAAAAAAAATTGATTATGGTTAATTTATAAAGTATTTTAAGAAGGCTTTGGATTACTCATTAGAAAATAATGATCAAAAAAATTTAGATGATATCATTTTAGATTATATTTCTGAACAATAAGTAAAATAGCAAGCTAAAATACAATTAGAAATAGGAAATGTTCTTAAAGAACATAGAAATAATGAGATAAAGTTATCTAATAGATGTGTTTATAATGTTAATGATGTTAAAGCTCTAATAAAACATAATTATAAAGGTAGACCTTCTATCAAATTATTAAAAACTTATAATGAAAAGAAAAATAAAATAAGTACTAAAGTACAAAATGAAAATGTATAAGATGATAGTAAAAATTTGGCTGAACGCAAATATGATTTATATTATAAAATAGGACATTATGCTCCTAAATGTCCTGATAAAAATAATTAGTTTACAGTTAACTCTTATTATAATGAACTCTATGTCCTAGACCTCAACTTCGCTATAAGGCTATAGTGAAGATTTTAAGAGATTTAATTGGCCAATTCGCTATAACAAGAGTATTTTTATTATATTTGTTTAAAAAATTCGTTATATCAAGAGTTCGCTATATCAAGAGTTAACTGTATTATGTTTTAATAATTGATTATAATAAAGTCACATAACTTCATATAATATCACGTAATCTTATAGAATGTAATACTACTACAAGGAGACATTAAATAAATTTACTCAAAATTTTATATGTAAAAAATATTCATGTTAATTTAATAAAGTTATATTATATACAAAAAAGATAATATAAATAATACACTTACTTCAATTTTTTAAATATATAAGTGTATTATTGATTTATTAATAATTTACTTATTTAGTTATTTATATATAATAATAAAAATATATAAAATAAAATTATATAAATACATATGTATTAATAAAAAATTTATAGAAAATAAAAAAAAAAATATTAATATAAATTCTTAAAAATAAAATTAATCTACCTGCTAAAATTAATTTTTTCAAAAAACTTAAAACTAAAACTTTAAAAAAAAAAAATACAAAGTAAATAATAAATAAGTAAATATTTGATTTTTATTAAAACAAATTAATAAATTGTTTTATTAAAACTTACTTTTGATCTAAAATTCCAGATTGGTTTATAAAATAAATTAATATTAGTTTTTTTTTTAAAAAAATTAAAAAAATTTTCTTATTAAAGCTTATTTTTGATCTAGTTCTAATCTAAAACATAAAAAATTAGATCATTTTTACAAAGATAAATTAAAATTAATATTAATATTTTAGTTTAAATTTAAATTAAAATTATAATTTCTCATTAAAACTTACTTTTAATTCAATTATAACTCAATCTTTTAAGAATTTTGATTATTTTACAAAAGTAAGTAATAAATATTATTTTTTTTATTAAAAAAAACTAATAAATTATTTATTAGGAATTAACTTTAATTTAGATTTTATTCTTTATAGATTTTAAATCAAATTTACAAAGATAAATAATATTTTAGTTTTATTTTTTAAAATTAAAAAAAAAATAAATATAATAAATTTTTTTAATTAGGCTTATCTTTGATCTAAAGTTTAAGAATTTAAAGTATCTTACAAAGGTAAATAATATTAATTTTTTTAAAATTAAAAAAAAAAAATAAATTAATAAATTTTTTCAATAGAATATATTTTATCTGATTTTAACTTAAAGTTTTAAAGATTTATTTTATAAAAATAATTTAATGTTAGATTTTTAAAAATTATAAAAAAAAAACTAACTAATTATTTTACTTTATTAGATTTACTTCTGATCAAAATTTTTATATCATTTATAATAAACAAAAAAGAAAAATATTAAATAAAAACTTAAAAAAAAATGAATAATAGAATGTATTAAACTAACAACAAATATAAATCAAGAAAGGATAATTTAATATTATTAGAATCTAAGTTGCTATAAATAAGATATATTTAAATATTTTTATTTAAGATATAAATGAAATACATTATTTTTATAATTTATTAAATTATTAAAATTTAAATTTAATCAAATTAATAATAGAATTCATTTAATTTTATTGAAAAATTATTAATAATAAGAATTTGTGAAAAGTAAATCTTATTTAAATTTTATTTTACTTATTAAAATTAATGTATTTTTATAATTATAGAATATTTTACATGTCATTCTATCATTATTATATTATGTGTTTTAAATTAGTTTAAGTAGTAATACAAAAAATATGATATTTTTTTTAAGATTATTATCACTATTAAAAAAAAAAGAAAATCTTTAAACTAATATTTACTTTATAAAACCACTTAATAAACTTGATTTTGTGATTGATTTTTCAATCTTTATTTTTTATTTTTGATATATTAAAGTTTCTAATATATAAGTATTATTGTAGTTTATTATAATACTTAAGAAAACAAATGTAGATTATCAAATTATATAAGTTTTTAATATAAAAATTATTGATTTACTTAATATTATAAATGATTTTATATCATTTAATAGTAGTATATTTACAAAGTACTTTGACTTTAATATTTATAATATTATAGATTATAAACTTTGTGATAAATTTTAATTATAATATTTTGTAAATATATAAATTGTAAATTTTATAATATTTTTCAATTGTAGTATTCCATAAATATTATGGATAATAAATCGTGCAAAATACTGTGCTTATAGTTTTATGTAAATATTACAAAATATAAATATTTAAAATACTTTAACTGAAAGTATTTCACAAATATTATAATAATAAATATTATAAAATAGTTTAAGTAAAATTTTATATAAACTTTATAAACTATAATTCTTGTAAAATACTATAATTAAAAGTAATTATTATGTAACCTTATGGCATACTTACATAAATAACAAATTATAAATCTTATATAATATTTTGCATTAAAAATATATATATATATTAATTATATTAATTTATAATGATAATTTTATTGATATAAATCAAATTCTAGAATTATTATTTAAAATTATTAATTTTAGAAATCTAAGATTTTGTTATATATATTGAAGTTTATTTTTTAGTCAATAATTTCACAATTGACTTGTATAACAATATTTATTTATTAAAAAATAGCTTTATAATATATTTTACTTTTTATAAAGAGAGTAAATTTTTTTTATTAAATTATTAATAGCTATTTTATTAACTAACTTTTCTATTTCTTTATATTTAAGAGATCTATATATACTAAATTATAATTTTTATAATTTAAATAGATTTAAATAAAATCTAAAAATTTGATATTATTATAATATTATAAAAGATTTTATTAAGAATCTATAAGTTATCAATAAATTACAAAAAAAAAAAAACTTTTTGTAATATTGTTAATTGAGTATTTATAGTATATTAACTTTACTTTTATATAAGTTTCAATAAATATCAAAATAATATTCTTTATATATTTATAGTAAAATCTTTTTTTTTTTTTTACCTTAATATAAAGTATTTCTTTAACATATCTTTACAAGTTTTAAAAAGAAATTTATTATAATATTTTTAATAAAAATTCTAATAAATAAGTATATTAGTATAGTGATTTTTAATTTATTTTTTTTAGTAATAAATATAATAATAAAAAATACCAACACCTAAACATTAAATAATAACTTTTAACATTGATTATTTTATAAAAAGAATCTAAATTATGCGAAAAGTGTGTACAAATTTTATCGTGCAATGATCACATGCAAAATTTTTTTTGGTCATGTAAAAAAAAAAAAAAAATGGTATTTTTTAGTCGGGTTTAAAACTTGCTAGTTTAAATTAACAAACATGAAAAATAATATAAAAGTAATTATATGTGTGATAAATTTTTTCCTAATATTACAAGTGAGTTTAGAACTGAAAAAAGACATTTTATTCTCAAAAGAGAAAATAATCATTTTATTTTAATTTATTCTAGGGTATACCGACAATAAGAGCACAAGATGATGTATATAGAGGTATAGGAGTTCTAGCTTCGACACAAACATGGTATACTTGTAGCAAACAATTAACAAACTATATAAGTATGTAAATTTTAATTCGTTCAGCAATTTAGAGTATTTTATTTATTTTTTTAACAAACTTCCCCATTTTGTTAGGTTATGAGATGAAAGTGGTGGAAACTGATCAAGAGAAATCATCAAATTTTGGAACGTACGCACAAGGACCTACCCCTCCGCCAATACAGCAAGGCATATTGGGTTTATTGACATATGTAACCAATTATACGGGTATACAAAAATCTATAGATCCAAATGGGATAACATCAATATATTGGCCAGAATTATCATGTTTCGAATTTCCTGCATTGGAATGTAAAAGAGAGAAAATTCCTCCTTTTGCCAGTAGCCTAATAGTATGTATAGGTATAACGAATCCACAAAATGTTGAAAAAAAATTTACTTTATCGATTTCCTTTGTTGAAGGAAAACAATCACCACCACTTTACATACCACCAACTCCTCCTATTCCTTCTCCCAGTCCTGGTTCCACTAAAAGCAAACCACCTCCACCAAATGATATACCAACAAATCCTCCTTTCTTTTACGCCACTAATAATGGATTATCAATTATTTTATCAAACATTAATGTTATTGGATTATCATCAACCATCATAATGACAACCATATTCATAATATTATAAATAATAAAATTTTTTATTAATAAACTATATACCCCCTAACCTAATTCAACCGCGTGACATAAAAGGATGACAAATAAGAATTTGACACAAATTCAAAATAAAAAAAATAAATGTGAAGAGTTATGAAATTACGTGATAAATAACGGAGGATATTGATATCCCCTGGTGTAATAATTTACATTTTCCTCAATAAAAAATTTATTTTTAAAATTTAAATTTAAATAAATTAATTATAGTAATAATAATAATAATAATTGTAATTTAAAGATATAAAAAAATCTCGAACATTTTGAAAAGGGTATTCTTTTTAATTGGTTTTCTTACTTTTTTTTTTTTGAACCTCACGGACGGTATTAGTCAAGTATAAACAACTTTGCAAGATTAAAGTGCCAGGTATCAAAAACCATAAGAAATTGATTCCAAAGAAATAACCCCAGAAATATAAAGGTTCGGGACGTGAATGAGGGAATCCTTCAAAAAATGTCGTCGCGTAATATAATACTAATCCATATAATTGACTTAAACTTACTATCAATTGTATAACGTGTCGTGATGGCCAATTTTGATGTATCCCTATTGCCGCAAAGTAAGATGCTGGTCCCAACAAAACCTAATAAATCACGAGAAAAAAAAATAAAATGAAGGAAAAAATGATTAGCCACGAGAATCCTTTTTTTTTTTTTAAAAAAAAAAAATAAAGATAAAAATTGTTACCGCAGTGATCCCTTCCATATTAACCACGAATGAATCAGAAGTCAAATATCTTGAATCACTTAAAGAATATTCTTTCCACATTTGAGCAAGTAAAAAATTATCAGATTGAATTGTTTCATGAGAATATACGAAATATCCTTCAAGAAATATATGAATGCTTCCGGTTATAATAAACCATATAAATGCAAATTTATTTAATCCACTAACGTTTCGTTTTTGGGAAATAATTGAAAAGAATACTAAAGTGATTGTTATCGTCGCTGCTGCAAAAACTCCGATTAAATATTCCATTGAATATGTTTTTTCAGTGAAATTTGGTAACTTTAAACAATTCCAAAAAAATTTAAATTAGCAAATTGAAGACATAAAACAAATTAAAAAGATTTTAAACGACATAATTATATACCTTGAGATCTGTTGGGTAATAAGGATGATTCGGAAGTTCCGGTTTTGAGATAACTTCTAGAACTTGCTCGGGCAGCTTTTCCTCATTATGAATTGCAAAAAACGACAATATTTTTTGCAACATCTTGAAAACCTTTGTTTCTAACGAAAAAAAAACCTTCACAAAATTGTTCGTTTTTACGTAACTTGTTTGTCGCTAATCTTGAAAACAGACGGAAAGAACTTTTATTTTATAAAAGATGTAGTAGCAGAACCTCGTTTGTATAAAATTTCTCATGATGAATTAAAATCGAAAAAAATTAGTTTCATAATGCAATGCGTAATGCACACATGGTTCACAACTTTCTGCTCAGAAATTGGATTAATTCCATTATCCGGATGGATTGTAATACATCATTAATAATCTATACTAAGCTTTGCTAAGCATGATTACCAATTCCTACATATGCATGCATATGGCTCCATCAAGCAACGCGCGAAGGAATATCCCCCGCGCTCCATTTGCATCCCTGTCCATAATCACATCGCATCCCTTGCACTTGTAAACTTTTCTCCCTCCAATATTCTGTATGTTTCCACATGCAGAACATGTTTTTGAGGTATAGGCTTCATTTTGTATGATCATTTTCATACCAGTCTCATCGGCTTTGTGTTTCAACCGTTGTCGGAATGAGTAATGTGACCACTTCGCACAGTTTTTGAATTGATTTTTCTCTTTTCTCGTCTCACCATGTTTGAAACATTGAATTCGGGTATAATAACAACATCATAATTTTTTGCAAGATAATTCACATGTTTCTTGTGTAATTCGTTCCTCAGGTTCCGGATCCTTCTAAAAATTCTTGAGATTGCTTTATCAATTCTCTCAGCCTTCTTTTTCTTTCTCTTAGAACTTACCGAACTTAGTTTGTCATAAATAAGTCCTGCGTATTCGAGAACTTCTGCGAAACAAATCGTCCACGGAATTTTGTGCGACTCCTCCACAAATAAGTTGTAATCTAAAAAAAATAATTTTGCGTCAAAAAAAAAAAATAAAATAAATAAAGGAAATACATGATACAATAAATCACCTTTCCATATTTCTTCTCTTGGCACGTCTCAATGCAAGAATCCCATTTTTACAGAGAAGATCCAATGACAAGGGATCAATTCCCTTTTGATTAATGACAACAAATCCTTTATTGGTATCCCCACATACTTGTTTTTTAAATTCAACAATTTTTTTCACTTTTTCATCCGTAAATTTGCGCTCTGATTCTACAAGTTTTTCTCGTTGCTCAGCAGATGAATAAAAAAATCCTGAATTTATTACACTATAAAAACAAAAAGATATATGTATTATTCAAGAATTTTTTCAATCCCATTCGTAACCAGTAACACATAAGGGGAATTAAAAAAAAATTTTTTTTTACTACCGAACAAATTCTGTCCCAGAATACATAATAATAATAAAAAAAAAAAGAATAAAACAGAGTTTTGTAGAAGGTGCCAAAACTTTTCGTGACGACGAAATGGCGCATAAGGTTAACAACGGTGATTTGTTAATACCTTGGAGGGGAAAAACCGAAAATAAAATTTTATTAGATAGGTGAGCTTCACATAACTATAAAAAGTCGAGCTCATTATAAA